GCAGACTTTCGTGTTCTCGATTTGACGTCACATTACCCACTAGAGCCATTCCTCTTTAAACTCGGTCGTGGGGCAAGATGGCGGCCGATTTTCCGTATTTTGACTGGGCATAGAAAATTGAAGATTTGAGCAAATAAAAAAATTTTTGCGCAGAAATACTCAAAAAAGTAAGCTTACTTCGTTAAGCGAAATAAATTTTTTGGGTGTAGGTGCACTTTAAGGATCTATGAAAAAGACACTTTCTATAATAAGTGCATTTTCGTCTTACAAACATTCCAGCATAATATAACATTGTTCATATGCAACAATATCAGCATTTCCAAGGTGATAAGCTCACATTAATCTGTACCCAGTAAGTTGCTAAATCGCCTCAACGGTTAAAAACATCAGACTGATCAAAAAACATTGTTACACAATTTTGACAGCAGCAATGTGATATTGTCACACAAGATATACAGAGGAGTTCAGTAGTTAAATCAAATGTAGTTTTGGTAGTTCATAATCTTGGGGAGGAGAGTGAGATGTTACGCGCATCCTGAATATTGCGTGACAAATTAGGAGAGCTTCATGCAACATTGAAATAAGGGCTGATAGTTTCGAAAGAAACTTTTTGGGGCTGCGTCGGTGGGAGTAACGAAATAATTTGGATATATCAATAAAGTTGAAATGGTAAATTGGCCACCGTAATGATTACAAACGACGAAGGGCTAACGCTCGAGGGCTCCGACGAAGGACTAACGCTCGAAACGTCAGCTTTTGTAATCATTACGGTGGCCAATTTACCATTTCAACTTTGTTGATATATCCAACATTGAAATAGCTTTTAATTTCGCTTTCACATAACTGCCGACAATAAGTTTAGTGTCTTACACGAATTTCCACCGGATGATTCAGTAAATTCAACGAACTTTTTCGAAATTTAGCTGCACACATCATAATATCATAATAGAATGTGCTTCTCAAGCTTAGATGAGCTTAAAGTAGGAATTACGAAACTCTCAAAATAATTTTAAGATGTAAAATATGAAGCTAGACCTCATTTTCACACGTGCCAACTCCTCCTTTTGGCCGATTATATTGATTTAAATATATTTTTTTTAAGTAGGAAGGACAAGTTCCATCAGGGCACAAATTTCAGCTTGCATAGACTCTCACGAAGGACACTTATAAAATCGAGAAAGAAAGCGAAGTAAAAGTTAGAACGTTTTCACTACTCACTTTTGCCCCAAAAACTTCATAATTCTCTCGTTCACATCATTTGGATCAGTCTTTTGATGTTGGGGACATGAGGGTCCTTCTGTCTCCTTTGACAGAACTGACAGAAAACGAGTGCAAAGACCCAACCATAGCAAGATGGCCTTCATAACGAGCAAGAATATCGCCATTGTCTGAGACGTCCAAGATACACCAAGGCAGCTTCCAGACCACCTTCTATTACGAGTGCCAGGTTACTAAGCGGTGACACTAATGGGTGAGTCATGTGTTTGTCACAAGACATACCGGTGCTACACATTAGCAGAAAATAGAACGCCCAACGGCTTAGATGGATGCAATTTTTTTAACCCTTAAATGTAGAGCGTACACACGGCATGAAAAACCAGGAAATTTCAGAATATAGAATTGTTATTGAACGAATTAATTAATGACAGCATGTAAAGAAAACCACCAGATAATCATCTGATTAGGGGCGGAAATGTGAATTGGTGAACATCATAAGCATGGTAAAAAATTATATCTTTTTCCAGAAAAAAAATTGAAAACTGAGTTCCTGCTTTTTCTTAGAAACCCGTCATTATTTATCACCCTTGGGGTAGTGGTGGGTAGAGTATTTTTTTTTTTTTTCGAGGGAGATCACATGGTTTCTAGGGGAAGCAGAGCGGGAATCGCTTGTCGCCAAAAGAGTATATAAATGGATACTATAAAAAACTGACCGCCAATTAACTGCCAATATTTATCGTGACACAACCAAAATCTCCCACCCGTTCCCCTTCGTCAGACGATAAATAATAATTGATTTATTTGATTGATAACTTTATTTACACACGGTCAAAATTTCCTCGAGCATGACATAAAAGCAAAACATTTAATTCTACCTAGATAATGTAACTAATGAAATAGGATAAAAATGAAACCTGTTATGTCAAGGATGCCGTGTTTCATTTAAGGCTGTGACTACAAAGTTTGTGTTTGAATGCAGATCTTGCCCTAGAGGCTGTTTCTCACCTCATCACATCTGTAAGAGATTCTCTTCAGTTGAATAATTATTGCGAGGCTGTGGAAGAGCCAGTTTTTTTTTTTCGGAACTTCCTGACTCAGGTAGGGAAGAAACATCATTTCGAAATACAAATCGCGATCTTAGACAATCGGAAGGCCATTCCGTGTAGAGTTTTGCACATCATAATGGATGTAGCCACCAGCCTTTGATCATTTAATTTACGCCAACCAAGTGCCCGCGCCCGAGACAACTCATCGATATCATTTTCTTTGCTTGCAAGCATTAGAATACGAGCTGCCACAGTTTTGGTTCTGAAGCTTTTCAGAGATGCTAATACTGCAGAGAGTAGAGTAGACATCTTTATTTATACAGGATAGCCCCTTCAGTGTAGTAAACACTGGTATCAACGGGGGTCCTGTTACCCACCCAACCCACCCCAGGGGNCGCATTTTACGCAATGTTTTTACTTTTATCGACAATCTGAAGCATTCAAAAGGCAAAGATAGCAATGGTTAGACATTGTATTGCATTTGGATGCAACAACCGGAGCGATAAACCACATTGCAAGCATCTTTCGTGGCATTCACTGCCACTGAGCAACAAGAAACTTCTGGCGACTTGGTTAGTCAAGATTAAACGGGAAAACACGCCCGTAAGTAAAAATTTCTTTTATGCAGTGAACATTTTGAAAAGGAAGACTTTTCCAAGTCATATGCTGGCCGGAAAGTAAGTCTTAAGTCAGACTCAGTTCCGACAATATTCAGTTTCTCCGAGCAGAAAACCAAAAGGAAGGCTCCGAAGGAAAGACGCTCGATTGATGATGACTTTCCGGCCAACATGTTGCACTGGGGTTTATCGCTCCGGTTGTTGCATCCGAATGCAATACAATGTCTAGCCATTGCTATCTTTTCCTTTTGAATGCTTCAGATTCTCGATAAAAGTAAAAAAATAGCGTAAAATGCGAGTTGTTTTGAAATATACAGTGTTACCTTTGAGAATTTACAAAGCCTTTGCCGCCCAAGTGCTTCGATTCCGTGCATTTTTAAAAACAACCGCTTTTACGCGGGCTCAGATCTAATGAAATCTCTCCCATGATGCCACACTAGCCTTTTCATCGTCCTCTTAGAGCGTAGATTTTTTGCAAGTTTGTTTCATGCCACTTGAATTACATTACTCATTACTCTCTGCCCAGGACATGGACGAGATTGAAAAGGATCTGGACACGAGCTTTTATTAGTGTAGTTTTGGTAACTAAGAAACAGCCAGTTGTAGGAGGTATGGGGGTAAAGGGAAGAGCAACTTTTCACCTCACAAAGTTTAGTTTCCGCGTTGAATATTGTCTTCTGTCAATGAAATCTTTATGAACAGTGCATATTTTATACTTGTAGTTTTTCTGAAAACTCCTCCACACGAGCGCGCAAGCGCACAACATACCCATCCAAAACAGGTGAAAGAGCTAAATTAAATCGAAAATGTGACGCTATTTTTAATATTGATTCCAATTTTTTGCCTGTCATGTTCTAATTAAACAAAGCCTGATGGTGTCAGAAGGCACTCCCGATGATCACTTGATAAAATGTCAATTCCTTGAAATAACAAACTTGTGCTATTAAACAGGAAGACCTTGCTCAGGTTGCGCGTTAAAGACGAGAACCGAAAAGAACGGTAACGGGGGTGGCTAGTACTGAGCGTAAAAGCTGGAGTAAAAGTTGAGCAGTTCCTCCACCTTGCGCAACAGTGATGAAGGTACATCTCCAAATATTCCAATTTCTTATCTCTACTCAAGTCTTGACGATTTTCTCGTTCTCCGCATCCGCCCGCTCTGAACAACGGTTAAAAACAGGAATTATCAGCGCGGGTGATGTTATAATTGGCGGCTTAATACCCGTTCACTTCTCACCCAATTTTTCGCCGCATCCTGGCAATACGTCATGCCAAGGCTTCTTCCATTTACGCGGGTTCAAAGGGGTAGAAGCCATGTTATACGCAGTAGACCTCATCAAAGGAAACTCTACGTTGTTTCCAAATGTAACTCTGGGAGTTCATATAAAAGATACATGTGGTTGTGTGGATTATGCCATCAGGGAAAGCTTGAGTTTCGACTTTATCAGGAGCGCTTACATTGCCTCAGATCTTCTTGACTGCGCCGTGGATTCCTCCAGCGAAAAACACTCATTACACAAACCTAAAGTAGATGACAGACCGTCTTCACGAAAGGAATATTTGAAGGGACACGATGCTGACGTGTCAGGTTTGTTTTATGGATGTTGGCTGAAAGCTGCTAGAGTTTAGTTTATTTCTTGAATCTAGTCATTCAAATTACATCTTCTGATAAATATCGAAGAAAGTTCCGTTATTTAACGCAATTTATTCAATATCATTTACACGTAAACAAAATTACCCGCTAGCGCGCCGGATAATTTTTAAACCCGAACGTCGACAAATTGCTTTCGGAATCATGATAAATCGACCCACTGAAGTCAAACATTTCGTTTATTTGCTCTATATTCACGTTAGTGACAGTTTCTGTCGCGTCCAGTATTTCAAGACGCCATCTAATCTATAAACGTGCTTTAACTACAACGAAGACGTGGAAAAAGCTTTTAGAAAACTTCCGACTTCCAATCTCCGGCTTCCATTGACATTGCACGTTTCTCGCACAGAGGACCAACTTTAAAAGTTGTGTACATAAGCAATATATCCCATGTTTCTACTTTGCTTGGCTCGCGAACTAGAATTGACAGAGTTCAGTTTCGAATTGGATATACCAACAATGAAATTCTGTCTCTCAAAATCAAATTCAAACTACAGGAAAGTACGAACGCAGCGGGTTCGTAAACGAAAGAAAAATAATGTTTTGCCTTTGTTAGCTAAAAAAGTTAGGTGGTTTTTCAATACTGTAATTAATCTTGGGCAAAATTCATCACGAAGCCTTTTGCGATTAAAACACCTATCTTTATTTTTCATTCAAGGCAGGAATATAATAGATTATTGCATAAAACCTCAAACCGAGAGATATGTCAAGTTTTAGGAAGGATTATGTAATTTAAGTGGCTTGATCACAAACCCCACATCAGATCCCACAGAAATGAAGGCCAAACTGAATACGCCGAGTGAAAGCTCATTTTTAATTTTTTTTTGAAAATGACGCCCACGACAGAGCAGCTACACAAGTCAGTTCAAAAACTGACAGAGCTTTCAATCTGTTCAAGTTTCGACAATTTTAATTTCTTTGAGTTCCCCGTTCGTGGACAAGTTTGCATTGGACGAAATCTTAATTTAAGTTTTTTTCCGACAGCATATTGTGGCTTCCGTTCTCAGAAAAACACATAGAAAAAAATACTGAAATATTATCATGAGGCTACCTGTCAACCACTCTCGAAACTGTCGATGCGAAACCCCAAAGTATACCACTTAGAATTAGAAGCACCTCTAGTAAAATGCAATGAAAGTTACGGACTCTTTGCCAAGTGTTTGGTCGCCGAGAAGTGACTTAAATCTTACAAAGCAAATTAGATGAGATTAATTTCAGGAATTTTCCAGATTAACATGAGTTTTAATATTTTTCGTTATATACCTTGCAGTTTCCAAGTATTGCTCAATCAATAAGATTGAGAGGAATTTGTGTTCTTACTAATTTCGTTATTCTTGCTTACTCCAAGCTGGATAAATACTCAGACGACGAATGTAAAATGTGTTGAAAGCACTTCACAAATCATCCCCTCAATAGAAATATCACGTCCTCTTCTGCATTCCAGATGAGTAAAAACTTAATTACGAGATTAACTGATCAGTTTTAGAATCGACTTCGAAGAGTAGAAACAATGCGCGTTTGCTGAAGAATACTCCGACTGAAAACCGTGCAAAACTTTAGCTCATCAGAAATGCAAACTCCTTGTTAATTTGTATGCTTTTGTTGATCAAAACCGGCGTAAACTCCAGCTAGTTGAAATTAAAGCATACCAGACACATATTTTATCCTTAAATTATATAGAAATTCTTTGAAGAAGGAAGGATTTGAAACGAATTTAAACTGGCCTAGATGACGAAAAATAGGTCATAACATCTAAAAAGAATGGCTAATGTATGGCCTTGTGGCCATACTATACTCTACCAATTGCTTCCATGAAAAATTGATTTTGTTTTCGAGCGGCTAGCGTCATATGCATAAAACGTGTTTAATTGAAATACGCGTTTAATTGAAGAATAAACTTTCAAAATTTGGATATATCTGATGCAGCTTTCCGCAGTGAAAGCTTCCCGCATTTACATAGCTTATTCGTCCTTAGTTAGAATATAGAAGCAATCAGTTTTTAACGAATAATACATCGAGAGGCCCATGAATATATGCAATGTTTTCAGCTTTTCGAGTATTTCGCTATGGTCATTGTCCTCTTGCAGTGCTTCCACAGCATCAGAAGGTTAGATTGACGCTTTTGCGCATGCGTGGAACACAGACCCTCTCAATGGAAATCCTTTGTTTTGTCTTGGCGTTCAAACTATTTTGATGGGTTCAGATTAGTGCCCAAGGACTAAGAGGTATTTAAATTGTAATGGAGAGGTTTCATAAATTATGAAATTTCTCATATAGAACAATAGCCGCAAAGAATTACGATCAGAACATAAAAACGAAGTTGTTTTTCCACACAGTTTTGTAATGACCTCCTTTGCATCAAGACAGTTTCGTATGTGACACAACTCGACATGTGACAAGGAAAAATCACCAAATGTGAAATTAAATCGGAAATTAATGATTCGGCCTAAATATTGAATTTAACCTTAATAAGCATCCCAGTGCTATTAGCGGTGATAAATTCGTAGCTAGAAATGAACTTTAATATTGATGTACGATTCGATTTAAGAGCTCCATAGCGAAGAATAACTTATCATTATCTTTCGACAGAGTGAAGTAACCAAAAACAAACTGAGGAGATCTAAGGAAGAGGCAGCAATTCAAATTTATTATTATTTTGTGAAAGATGAATACACGGTATCTTAGACATTATTTCCTTGGCAAGACAAAGCAGGTGTTTAATGCTGGAAATAGAATGATTATACCGTTCAATTCCGAGCAAACTTCACTTTGCTTCTATTTCGCTGTACGACTCCAAAATGAATACTCCAATTACTATTTGAATATAACCATAGAAAACTTAACTTTTTTCTGCTCAGCCTTATTAATTATTGAGAGACCCAGTAGTCTTCTTTTCCCGAGACATATTCGTCGTCTAGCTTGCAAATTTAATCGGAATCTGAACCAGAAACTGAGAAGTTTCGCACATTGCCTCTCCCTCCATTCTTCTTGGCTTTCCCGCGTTTTTACGTTAGTTTCCCGCTTATTTCACCGACTGCTCGCACTATCGCGCTAAGCACACGTTTTCCCGCTCTTTTTACACCTACTTTGTTTGTTTGTTTTCACGTGCTCAGCACTAGTTCTAATTATCCCGCACCTGGGCCCTGTTTTAATCTCACGGCTAAAAACCCTCGTGTTTGTGTATTTCTGTTTCGAGATTGGATCGGTTCTCTAACAAAACTGTAACTAATACAAAGCAAATATTCGTTCTAGCTTGCTTTTACTGCGAGAATAACTCGTCTTTTCTCCGAGTTTCTATGATATTGCTCTTGGTTAAAACTCGTAATTTTTGTTTAGGTTGCTGTTCAAGTAAGTATCGCACAGCAGCTATCGTAGGAGCAGCCTTCAGCGGCGTAACCATGGCAACGGCAAGCCTCACAGGGCTTTTCCACGTGCCTGTAATTAGTTACGCTTCAACGAGTCGTCTTCTCAGTGACAGGTCTCGTTTCCAGTACTTCTACCGAACGGTACCTTCGGACAACTTCCAGGCTCAAGCAGTTACGTCCCTTCTTCACGAATTTCAGTGGCATTTCGTCATCGTTCTAGCGTCGGATAACGAATACGGCCGCTCGGGCGTCACAGCTTTGAAACAGACGATCCAGAATGACACGACTCGAGATCAGATCTGCGTAGTAGTCGACGAACTCTTTTCAAGGAAAGGGAGTCGAAATGAAATGACTCAAATCTTCAACAAGATCCAACAATTTTCGCAAGCAAAAGTTATTATTCTTTATGCTGAATTTCCAGATGCTGTGTATTTTTTCCAAGAAGCAAAAATTAAATCGTTAAGGAATTACATGTTTATTGCAACTGACAGCTGGGTTGGGTCTACAGAAGTGATTAGAGGTTCCAGTGATATTTTCAAAGCCATCATCGGTTTGAGGCCTCCAATTAAATCCATGCCAACATTTGACGCGTACTTCCTGGAAACTCTCAAGAAAAACAACAGCAGAAATCCATGGGCTTCCGAATGTAACAAAAGTTTAATTTGTAGTGAGAAAAGCGCTGAACCGTGTCAATCGGAAGTTCACCACGACGGGTATGTCGCTTACATAATGGATGCGGTATTTTCAGTCGCGCATGCGCTGCACGCAATGCTCGGCTGCAACGATAAAACGTGCGCTAAGAAATGGATGGATGTGGACATCCGGGATCTTTCACAGTTCATTCAAAATGTATCTTTTGCAGGATATTCACAAAAAAACATCTTCTTCAATGAAGAGGGCAGTACTAAAGGGCACTATGATGTTTATTACCTGGGCATAGAAAGCAGCAAATATACGAAAGTGGGTTCGTGGAGTCAGTCTAAACTAGAGCTTGATTTATCGATAATTTCACAGCACGGATCTGATTTTCCATTGCCAGCTTCAATCTGCAGTATCCATTGCCGGAAAGGTATGAGTGTGCCGATCGTCTTTAAATTTTAAGTCTTTTACAATTAAGTAGCTCCGTAAAGGCTTACGCAAGACGTGCACTTCGTGCCATCTGAAACTAGCTATGGAGACTCTTCGAAATTCCCCACTGGGCAATCTCAGTGAGGCAAAGGAAACGTATCCAATCGTTTCCTTCTCAGTCGATTCTTACCCAATTTCAGACGATTCGTACCCGGGAGATGTGTCGGTTCGTATCGACTCAAACAAGTTACATTCGGTGGTCTCGTAGCCATTAGAGATAAACGTCGAAGAAACAAAACTCTAGATAAACCGGCGGATAGTGTTTCTTTTTAAGAAAAGAAACTGGCTTTACTTTAAACGTACTCAACAAGGAAAACATTCATTCTTAGTATGGGCACAAACTGACTTATCTAACTGGGTGCGAAATAGTCCAAGCTGGGTACGAATTGTCAGATTACGAAACGTCCTTGGGTACGAAAGGACTGTAAGCAAGAAAAGAAAGCATTACGGAAGCAAATTCAAATTATTTGCTCAAATTTCAATTTACGTGAGGCTGCACCAACAACCTTAATATTCTTGAGCTCAACACCTGGAATTAATTTCTTCAATAGCGGAAAGCTGTTTCAGCTCTTATAATTGAATTTCTCTCTATATCTTTGCGTTATCTACTCTCTCCTAATCTAGTTGGACCACCGAAAAGAGTTCGAAATTTGTGTCTTTATCACTAGTCAAAGATCCATTCCCCAACCGTTTGACGTTTTTTTTCTCTTCCCACCCCATAACTTTCTCTTCTCACGCCATAATCCCTTTGCAATTTTATTGCTTTTTTGTTTCTACTATATATATATCTAGTTTCGAGGTCCTTTTTGAAAACCATATTTGTTATGAAAAAGTTTCCTCAATAGAGATGATTATTATTAAAACTGCTGATTGCCTCATTCATGCCAGGCGAGTACAAGATTCCAAAATCTCAGTTCCCGGAGTGCTGCTGGGATTGTGCAAAGTGCGAAGGGAAATCGTTTACCAATACGTCACACATGACCAAATGTTCGTATTGCCCGGAAGGAACTTGGCCCACCGCTGACCACTCAGCATGCAGTCCCATCGAAGCCGCCTATCTCCACTGGGATGAGACCTGGGCAGTCGTCATTGTCTTCTTTTCATCATTTGGTTTGGCCATTGTGACATTCACTGGCGTTGTGTTTATAAAATTTCGCGCTACACCAGTGGTGCGAGCTGCTAGCAGACAACTATGCTACTTTCTTCTATTGGGAATTGCAATATTCTATGTGACGCCTCTTCCATACATCGCCAAGCCCTCGGCCGTCACCTGTAGAACTCTTCCAGTTATGTTTGGGCTGTGCTTTGTGCTGGTAGTTGGTAAGTACTGTTGCTATTGCGTCACTGCCTCGTTATTAACGCTTCAGCTTTTCCTGCGGGAAAGTAGACAGACGTATAGTCTATAAATATTTTCAAACTTGCATCCTCCAAAGGCTGAATTGCATGAAATTTACAAAAGTTAAAGTTATACATGAATACAGATTTATAAAATAACAATTTAATGTAATATAACATGGTTATAAAAAAAACTAAGCATAAAAGTTCAACCGATTGGACATAGATGGAATAAATGTGTTCGTGAGACGATTGGTGCGCATTTTTGGCAACAAAAAAATTCTAAAAAATTGTATCTGGTAATGTTCTTGGGTTGTAGCAGATGATGGAGTTTATGCGCAGAATGAGATACGAATTAGTCAAAGAATTTATAACACTATTCTTCGCGCCTGTCTTCCAAAGATCGGATACTATACAAAACTTGATTGTCATGATGCAAAAGACCAGGAGAAATTAGGAAAAGCGCGCGTCTCTGAACACGCTCTTAGTCTTCACTTAAATAGGCAGGCAATGTATAGTGGTATAAGGGTGCGCAATGCTCTAACACCGGCTTCATGTAGAAAAGATGGAAGCAGATGATACAATGAGCCGGAAAATTTGTTCGCTTCAGCAAGTATGAGGAGGAAACAATGAGGTCTTGAAGAACGCGAGACGGTGAGAGGTCTGTTGTAGTGCCAGATCCCCGCAAACCTCTCCCCGATTCGTCTAAAAATCCACCCACGGGAGGAAAAACGCGCGTCTTTGCTCATAATGGGAATCTGCTCGCACGCTATCACAGCAGGTAACTTTTCACTTGATTTAATTTAACTTTTTTCCTTAAAAAGAACGTGGTCTCCCTGTCTTTGAAAGTCTAGAGAATCTTGTACAATACCAAACTATTTTATTTTCCCTTACCTGCATTTCCTCTTTCCAAGGCACAATTCTCATCAGAACAAACCGAGTTTCCAGGATTTTCAACGAGAAACTTCTTCGAACAGGGAAAATTGGTTGCCTTGGCAACCACTGGCAGATGTTTATTTTAGGATGTCTGCTGGCCACTGAGATCGCGCTCACCGTTGCTTGGGTATATGGTTCCTCGTCTCCAGTTCTTCCGCAAATAATCTATTCTAAGGCCTCTAAAGATGCCTCTCTTATCTGCAACTTGAGTGGAAGTCACATTGGCTTTTCTTTGTGGCTTATCTACAACGCAGGCTTGGTCGTCGTATGCACTTATCAAGCTTTTCTTGTGCGGAAAGTGCCACAGAATTATAACGAGTCAAGATTGATTGCGTTCAACATGACCACACTATGTATTACCGTCTTTGTCTATATTCCGTCGTACATGGGTACCTCAGGGTGGTATCGAACAGTTATCTCATGTTTCATGTTCATATTTCTTGGAACTCTCACCTGGGTGAGTATCTTTGCACCGAAGATTTATATTATGCTGTTCCGACCGCACAAAAACATTCCCATGAGACCTTCTGTGAGCTCCATTACTTTAGGAGTGATCACACCCACGCCAGCGGCCAGCAGTATTAGTGATCAGTACATGTGTAGCAGGCAAAATTCTCTGACTCCCAACGAAGATGGAACATGGGGAGGCCTATGGGCCAAGTTTGATTTGGCACGTGATCTGAACGAAAACGTTGCGATCGGTGAGAAAGATGATTTGCCGAAAAAGATTGAGGAATTTGAAGATTTTTCCGAAAAAGAACTGAAAGAAAACCAAGAAACGGAGACAATTACAGTTGCTAAGTCACAACAACAACAAGAAAACTGTGAAATAATGCCCGTGAAGAATACTTTTATGGTGCACTTCGAAGACGAACTGACAACTGAAATCAATGAAGGCAAATACACGAAAGTCGTTCCCAGGTTCCTTGGTAGTCAAGGTGGTATCTTAAGAAGACCTTACACATCAGAGAGCCTCGAAAATCCTGGTAACGGGATCGTTACGAGGAAGAAAAAAACATCTCTAGTTCGTTTTCAGGACGAAGTGTTAAGTTGCGACGATTTTGCAGACTACAGCGGGTCTGCGCTTCCCGCCAAAGAAGAGGAATCCAGTCAAATGCCCAAAGAAAAACTTGATGCGGAGACTGGTAACAAGAGAGAACAAACAGAGACCAGCCATGTCACTGGACAAGAGAGAAAGAGGAAAATATCTGTCTTTTCGTTCCAGTGACAAAGAAAAAAAAAATTAATCGATAGATCCAATTCTTGACTATAATTATATTCGGGTTATAAAAGTTTGTCGCCTAGCGTACCTGGATCAAAAAAAAAAAAAAAATTGTGCCGAAAATTGAAAGCATAATGTAATTTAATTGTGAGATGCATTTTCTCTGTTTAGGGATTCTACGGTTTGAGTTCTTGTTTGAAAGCAATGGACTTCCTAATTAATGAAAATTGTGCGCGAGTCCCAGGTCTAACAAAGAGGGCTTGCCGTCCTTCCTATTTTCGCCATTATTTAAGGGAGGAAAAGCACTTCAACTGTTCAGCGTTAAGACGAAAACTATTCTAGTGCCATCCTCCCCCAGATCTAGACCCGCGCATTTTTAATATATTTTCCTAAAACGTTCTGCAACTTATAGAAGTGACGGAATTTTTGGCTCCGGCTTTAGTTTCAGTTAAACTAGTCACTACTGTATAAAGGCTGATAGTTTCGAAAGAAACTGTTTGGGGCTGCGTCGGTGGGAGTAACGAAATAATTTGGATATATCAACAAAGTTGAAATGGTAAATTGGCCACCGTAATGATTACAGAAGCTGACGTTTCGAGCGTTAGCCTTTCGTCGGAGCGAATGGGCTAACGCTCCGACGAAGGGCTAACGCTCGAAACGTCAGCTTCTGTAATCATTACGGTGGCCAATTTACCATTTCAACTTTGTTGATATATCCAAATTATTTGGTCACTATTGTGCCCATTTTATCTCAAGGAGTTCAGTTGTCCTTTTGGTCTAACTTCTCGTCGGCAAGTTGGTAAGACATCCTGCAAGGCTCTCGATTTCTAAATGTTCGAAAATGACTCGAAACAGAATAAAAGGACTTTGCGAAGTTTAATAAAACTCAGTACTGTTGTCCTATCATGCCTAAATTTATGAACCTAACTCTATGAACTGTTATGAATTCTTTTCACATGTGAACATATGAACACGTCGTTTTCTCAGATAAGTTTTTACTGGCTGTGTTCATCATGTCTTTGTTGGAAGAATGGGTCTAGTTCACAAAGTCAGTGAAACAGACATTTGTTCCCGGGGCTTCTCTCTCTCTCTTTTTTTTTTTTTGTCTAAAACCTCGCAGGAAACGCTAAATATCTTCCGCGTTATTGGATTAGATATTCTTTCCATTGACTCTGATAATATTACTTTTCCAACTGTATAATTGTCTCTCGATTTTATCTTTGATGAGGTGGGATAATTCCACCTACAATCGATCCTGTTTCTTTTCCCCGTTGAAATAAATTTTTTAGGGTTTACTTTCAATGATCAAAAACTTTCCATCGCCCCAGAAAACAAAATAAACTTTCGAGAAGTAGCTGCCAAAATCTTCATCACAGATCTCATTTTTGGTGTTTTGTTTATACAAAACAACCCAAATGGTTTTGAAAACAAAATAAATTAACAGAGGAAACAAGATGGAAAAAACTAACTGCAAAAGAAAAATACAAGTAAAATTGGACTTAAGCTTTAAGTTTTCAAGACGGAAAGATCACATGATTCTCTCATGACAATAGGCCTTTCTCAGCTATTTACTTCAAACATGCAAATACCGTACTAAAACACTCTGGATTCTGACGAACAACTGACTTTTGGCTTCTGTTTTATCACTTGCAAGGCGCTAACAGCTGGTTAGCACTCGTCACAACAACACTTATGGGATGATCTAACCACGTGACAGACTACTCCCCACGTCAAACAACCATGACACATGCGTAGTTCTCCAAAACATTGCAAAATGACTCAACGGCTGAGATCATTGGCCGTTTTAATAACATATTTCAAATTTTACAAAAGCATATGGCTTGAAAGGTGCTCCCATAAAATTGTTGCGATTGTCAGGGTATAAAAAGGCAGCGAAAAGCGCAGTGTTTTCATACTTACAGGGCACTGGAGCTACTGTGATCATGAAGGCAGTGCTCCCAGTTTTCGGCCTTCACTGCACTCTTCTCGAAGGCTGAATACTGCGTGTTCCCCACTCTTAGGGTGCACGGTGTGCAATTTTTGTTAGTTGGGCAGACCTGCGTACGCGCTCGTTGGCCCTCCAATTCAAAAGAAGGATTTACTGACCACAATCAATATCTAATCAACTGCGCTTGGCTTCTTTAGGACCTAAACAAACTTAGTTACCTCTTTAATAATTATCCTACGGCATGCGATTACGTGAGATATTGGATTGCATGTGTAATGTAGAATGATGCCTACAAAATTGAAAGGCCTAACTAAACGAGTCAAATCTGAGAAGACCTATAGAAACTGGATTTCCCCCAACTTGAATTCTTTTAAATAAATTGGTCCTCGCTTCATAGTAATCTTTCTCAGTTTTGAATATACAACTAATGTAAATCATGATTTCGTATTATTTGCTCGATTTTCTCTATTCTTTGAAGGAAATTTATAGAGCCTTGGCTCCAGGAGAATTGACACAATACTTTGTTGTATTCACTCATCAACTGACGAATTCACCTGTCGTACGATTTATTAAAAAAAATTGCTTTCGGTGTTTTATACAAAAAGGCCGTGGGTCAGTTTTGTAAAATGAGGCTTGGCAATTTGTATTCCAATTGGAAAATTAAGAACTCTCCAATTTTCTAAAATATGTATGAGCGAGGCCCGGCAGAATGCGTTGCAGCGGCGCTCAAGTGATTAAACATAATGAAATATGCATAGGCTAACACTACACAGTTTTTTTTTTTTTGGTTATGGTTTCTCCATTAACATGCCAGCTATTTACGATAAGTTCGATGATTTCTTTCCATGCGTCACCTAAATTTGGTTAGATTCGTGATCAAAATCTACAAATGGCTTACAGGAATTTAAGACGCTCCCAAAGTTCCTCAGCACCTGCTGTCGACAAACAGCGAAATTCATGGCGTCAAACATCAATATCATTAACTTGTCTAATTTGAGTCGTTTCAATGGAAAACTCAAACAAATTTAAGCCGCATCAAATTAAGAAATTTCTTGTCCGCAGCGTTTAAACCAGAAGGAAAAGTTTATTGCTGAGGAAGTTACTAACTAAAAACAAGACAGGTTGAGCTCCAAAAAGGAAAGCTGTTTTTATCTGGGCTTATCGGTTTTCTTTTGTTTTAATTCAGCGTTTGTTTAACGATTTACTGTTTCTGGAATAAAAATAGTTGAAATGAATATACTACACGCAGACGTTGTTTGTGTCTTTCAATAGGACTTATTGTTAACTCTATACTTTATCTGCAATGACTCAAGCGAGAACTCAGTCGGTGTACATCAAAAAGGGAAAAAAATTTTATATCTCTAAAACAAATTGTGTAATGCTTTTTGTTAAAGAAAATAATATCTGTAGGTGCTTTATGTTGTTCAAACACTCTCAGGTTTGTTAAATAATCGAAATGAAGTTTTGTCTTACAGGTAAGTTTTGTCTTACAGATATAAATCAAACGATGTACTTCAAATCGGTTCTAGAATGGTGCGAGCAATTTTTGTCATGAAGATGACATAATTTTGTCTTCTGCTTCTTTCTTCTACTTTCGTGTAAATGTGGTCAGCCTTTTTTAAATTCAGTTGAATTTTATTGACCGTTTGACAAAGGACCAATCAAACGGCTTCTTTTACACAACAGTTAGCCCTTATTTGGTGTTAATATTAACCAATCAGGAAAGAGCTTCTAATCGTTTGAAAAACAAATTATTTTCAATGCATGCTCCACTCGATTTGCGCCGAAAGAAAAAAATCAATTCAAAATCTGTAATCAAAAAACGCCAATGAAAAAATGTCTACTTGAATAGAAAATCTCTTAAGTTCTCAATTTTCAACAGTAAAGTTTACAGAGAGGTGAAGAAATGGTTTTGTGTCTGAAAATGAGTACGTACATTAAAATCAAATTTTGTTCTATTCTAAGGCTCAGGAACAATAAACCATGGCTTGAAATTTTACGCCAATGTTGTCAGGAGCGCCTCTTAAAATAAATACAAATTTATGTACTTGAAGCTAAAGCTTTCCACGAATGGAATACGACATTTGCCTGCATTATTCTGAGAAGCAGCTTTTTTTAATCTTTTATCATAGCGGGAGAATTCTATGACAAATTGCATCTGCGCCAATCTTTACCCGCGTAATTATTACTTTTTTGGTCGTAAACAACTACGGTAAATAGGGAATAAGTGATATGATTTGAGAAAATTCTGGTCACCAGCAGGACTAATATGTTTGAAATGTAAAAACTGCTGCTGCGCAGAAACTGCAAACGAAGAAAAAAGCAGCCTAAACTCCAAAAATTATAGAGCTCAATTTATCCAGCGATCAAAAGGACTCAAACATGAAAACATTGATTAACATAACAGGTGTTATTATCATCCAAACTGTCCAATTTAAGTCGCGAAAATTATTTGCCTAAAAAACACAAAAGTTCCAGTTAGTCTTCGACGGGATGACGAACTCACGCAATTTCTATCGAGCCTAGAACTTTGAGCGATGAAGGCTCTTTCACTCGGGTTTTATAAATTAGAATATAACCTTGGCTCATGCTTTGGGTTATACTGATGAGGAAGACAATAAATGAATGTTAATTTTTTAACTCACATCGCCCTCAAGTTATTAAAAATTAAAGTAGCGACCATTTTAAATATCGATTTGAACTTCTTTCTGCTAGAAGACGTTCTCGTTTTAAAGCTTCAACCGAGTTGAATATTAATTACAAATAAAAGGTTTTTCTTCTCGATCAAAGCACATAGTACTTCCACGTAAAGGTAAAAGAATATTAAAAGAATAATGGAAAATTTTAATGTCGTTCGTTCTTTTGGTTTTGTTAGTTGCTGTCAAAGTGCAGGATTATGTAGGTTAGCTTAGATATTCAACTAAAGTTTATGTTCAATAAATCAAATGAGGAAAAATTAGGAGTTAAAGGATGAACGAGTCTCGAGTAAAATTTTTGATACAGTAGGCCATTTTATCTACGTGCAAAGATCTATAGTTTAGTGGAATTACTAGATTGATGTTAGATGTTATCCATATTTTTCATCTCCACGTCAACATTAAAAGGTTAAATTGAGAGAAATTACCAGTAACCGACACCCTACAATAAAATATTTCAGCTTACAGGCAAATAAGTGTTTGTATCTCATTCGTGAAGCCAGTTATCGACGAGGGAAAAAATATAAACTATCGTGTCCATGCCTGGGTGTTATCTGCAGGTTGCGTCGTTCCTACAACGAAATCTGTTTTTCTTTCGGTTCCCTGGTTGCCATGGACAACGCTAACAGAATGCGATTGGCTGGACAGTTGTAACAACCTGCTGAAACTATGGCAGCTGGAAAACAGATGAGCTATATTTCATTTCTGTTATACAAACCTAGTTCCGCCACTGATTTTGTTTCATCACATTTCTCATTTTTTTTTTCATACATCATCAGTTATTTTATCCCATGAGTTCCTCGTTAACCCTATAGCTCCCATGATCCGATTGTTGATTCTTCCCTCTAACTGCGACACATTTCCTCCCAAATCAG